AAGAAAGAAAGAAAGAAAGAAAGAAAGAAAGAAAGAAAGAAAGAAAGAAGAAAGGGAAGAAGGAAGGAAAGAGAAAGAAAGAAAGAAAGAAAAAAGAGAAAGAAGAAAGAAAGAAAGAAAGAAAGAAAGAAAGAAAGAAAGAAAGAAAGAAAGAAAGAAAGAAAGAAAGAAAGAAAGACTTAGACATGGCTCCTACAAATCAGTATGATGTATATTGCACATCCATCATTTCTAACAGGATTAGATCGTCTCCGTCATTGTAGGGGTGTAATCTGTCAAGAGAAATCCTTTGATGGCCCCATGGGTGTGTCTGAACTCATCAAACGGAACCATACAATGAAAGCTTGCATATCTGCAAGCTGAGCAAATCCTCTTTCCTGTCTGTCCAGCCATTACCTCATTGATCTGTTTCATGCGCCGCTCCTCCAGGTCCATCTTGGCTCGCAGGAAGTTGGCGTGTTCATTCCCATCTCCAGGCATTTCAAAATAAACATCTACCCCGTCCGTTGGGCGAGGGGTTGGGGTCACTGTATAGACAGCAATTATGTTAGACAAGACCAGGCCTTCTTACCAGTCTTAAAGCAAAGATAACGTAAGCTGTTGCCTTTGAACTGTTTTGAACAACAACTTCCAGTTCCAGGCAGCATGGCACATGGAAAAGATTATATAACAGCTGTGATGGCACCATGGTTAGAATGCTGTACTGCCGGCTAATTTTGCCAACTGCCAGAAGTTCGATACTCACTGGCTCAAGATGGACTCAGCTTTCTGTCCTTCCAAGGACATGCAAAATGAGAACACAGACTGTTGGGGACAATATGCTGACTCTGTAAACCGCTTAGAGCAGGGGTGTCAAACTCAAGGCCCGTGGGCTGCATCTGAGCCACGATGTGGTCAGATCCAGCCCACAGGGCCGTCCTGGAAAATGTAAGGGGCCAGCCCGCGTCGCTTTGGCCCGGTCTATCCAATGCGAAGAGGAAACATCGGTCCAGCGTGGCTTCGGCCCAGTCTACCCAATGCAAAGAGGAAACATGCCAGCAGTTTGGGGAGTGGCATCAAGTTGGCCATGCCCACCCAGTTGGCCACACTCACCAGTTGGCCACACCCACCTGCCCCCCCACAAGTTCAACCACAGTCCTTATGTGGCCCTCAAAGAAATGGAGTTTGACATCCCTGGCTTCGAGAGTGCTGTAAAGCAGTGTCCCCCAATGGTGCTCATCTCTGTTACAAAGCCAAAGAGCCAGCATTGTCTGAAGACGTCTCCTTGGTCATGTGGCCGGCATGACTAAACGCCGAAGGTGCACAGAACGCTGTTACCTTCCCACCAAAGGTGGTCCCTATTTTTCCACTTGCATTTTTTACATGCTTTCAAACTGCTAGGTTGGCAGAAGCTGGGACAAGTAACGGGAGCTCACTCCGTTACGCGGAGCAAGGGATTCGAACTGCTGACCTTTCTGATCGACAAGCTCAGCGTCTAAGCCATTCAGCCACCACGTCCCTGTACATTGCTACATACCAGGGCTCAACTGCTACATACCAGGGCTCAATTACTGGGTGAATCCAGCCTAAAAAGGTGGGCTTATCTAAAAAGGGAGTCTAGGAATGCAGAGAATGTAAACACTCATCCATTATTGTCGGACATGATTAGGACTAGAGATATAAGAGACAATCCAATTTCTCCTTGAGAGAGGGCGGCACTGCAAGAGCTAGCGAAAGGCTTGAGATCTGGCTCAGTGTAATTACGACAGGGTTCTCTCCCTTGCTCAGAAATTCAACTGCAATCCTTACTCTTCCTGGAATATAATTAAGATTCCATTACTCTCCTCCATGGGTCCCAACTTCTGCGGCAGCCTGACATCGATGGATTTGCATTCCAAAGCAGATGCAATTGCTTCCCCTGTTAAAATATGCCTGACCCTGCAGAAGTCACCTATCTCGAATATTTAAAACCATCCATGCATGCAAATCTATTTGGGCGCATGGCGTCCTGCAGTGATTTGGTTGAGGACGGAAAGAAGCAGGCCAGCCCCCTCGAGGCTTTGATTCTAAGCATCCTCTACCCTTTAGTGTCAGGGAGAGCTAGGTTCAGCGCTGTCTCCAAGACAGACTTCCCATTGTGACGAGGAGGAGGTGATGGGCACTCAGAGAAACAGCTGAGCAGCTGAGCATTTCCTGCTTTCTCAACCTAGTAGTAGCTGGCATCTTGCCTCTCTCCTTTCCGTGCCCCAGAGGTCCCTATTTTGCACGGTCTACATCAATGGTTGGATTCAAAACTTTTAACCGCCGGTTCCATGGGCATGGCTTGGTGAGTGTGGTGTGGCTTGGTGGGCGTAGCGTGGTAGGCATGGCAGGGGAAGGATACTGCAAAATCCCCATTCCCTCCCCACCCCACTAACCACTAACTCCATTCTCCTGTGCTGGTCAACCAAAGAAGACCTAGCCGATCAGCTGAGACTCAATGGGAGGCACAGAATAGATAGGGGCGGGGCCAGTCAGAGGTGGTATTTGCCAGTTCTCTGAACTACTCAAAATTTCTACTACCGGTTCTTCAGAACTGGTCCGAACTGGCTGAATACCACCTCTGGCCTATATTCCTCTTTCTTTTGATCTGTCTTTGAGCAATGATTTTTACCGTGGCTGCCAGTGGGTCAAAGTTCTGAGAAGCCCTTGAGAGTGTATTCCATTTAAGCCGGAGTTTTTTCTCCTAGGAATAATAATACCAGAAGGACTTAGTTTATCTAATAGTACATGTGTTGATGGCGGCTAGAATAATATATGTGCAATACTGGAAGAAGGAAAGCATACCGCCAGAAACAGAGATAATAAGGAAAATTATGGCCTGTGCAGAATTAAAATTAGAATTAAAAAACAAGGGGGAATCTGAGTAACTATGAAATGTGGAATAAATTCTATCAGTGGTTGCATAGAAGAAGGCACAGTCAGAACATAAGTACCTATGATGATTAGAATAATTAGTAAACCATGTATCAAACAAGAGGATTGTAAATGGTGAAGTAACATTTATATATGTACTGTATAACAATTGTAACACCAGAACGGCTGCCCTGTGTTGTATTCTTATAATTAAAATAAAATAAATACATACAAAAAAAAACCCCAGTCTTCATAGGGTGGCCTTTTTTTCTTCCTCTAGATGCACAAGTAGTCCTCTACTTACAACCACACATGAGCCTGAAATTTATGTTGCTAAGCAAGACATGTAACAGATTAAAAGAATTGGAAGGGACCCTGTCGGTCATCCAGTCCAACCCCTCCACCACCCCGTCCAAGCTAAGTGGGTTTCGCCCCATGTGATGACATTTCTTGCCACAGTTGGTTCACTAAATCACCGCCGTTGTTAAGTTAGCAACAGGATTGTTGCTGCCCTTACTGACTTGGATTGTCAGAAGGCCACAAAAGGTGATAACTCAATCCTGGGACATACATAGCAGTTTCTCAACATCTGAATCTTCACCGCGTCACCATGGGGAAGCTGCCATGGTCGTAAGCATGAAAAAACGGTCATAATCCCCTATTTCCAGTGCCGTTGTAACTTCAAATGGTCACTAAATATTGGACTACCTGCAATCCACAGATTTGTAATCGTTGCCTATGGCAGGGGTGTCAACTCGATTTCAATGAGGGCCACATCAGGGTTGTGTTTGACCTCGGGGGGGGGGGGGGGCTGGAGTGGGTGTGGCCAGGGTGGGTGTGGCCAACTCGACGTCACTCGTGTCAGGGGCACCTGTGGTGGCCAGAGCTCTCTGCCAGCAAAAACGGACTCCTGAGCTCCGTTTTCGGCTGTGTCAGCCTCCTGCAACCCTCTGACAGCGAAAACGGACCTCGGGAGGATGGCCTTCCTGAGCTCCGTTTTCCCTGGCAGAGGCACCACAGGCCAGTCCCTTAGCTATTTGCAGGGTGGCCCTGTGGGCCAGATCTAAGCACCCCACAGGCCGGATCTGGCTCCCCGGCCCTTGAGTTTGACATCCCTGGCCTATGGCCTTCAGATACTCTGCCCCCTCTGGGCCTCTTTTGAAGTCCCAGAGCATCCTGGTTTTTGTTTTTTTCCAGTTTAGAGAGACATTTGAGGATAACTTAACCTCAAATCCATCAAAACAACCTCAAAGGCCAAGCCTTTTTTTTTCAAACCTCTGGGGACGTCATGAAATCACCAGCAACACCGTCCGCGGCACTCAGGAGGCCAAAAAGATTTTAGCAAATGATGTTTCCCCTGTTTGCCTGTTTAATCTAACCATGTGGTCATCCAGAGAAGCATTAGAGGCTGCCCTTCTCTCTCTCTCTCTCTCTCTCTCTCTTCATTGATATGGTCTCTCCAGGGGTGGGCTTCAAAAATTCCAGCGACGGGTTCTCTGCCCCGTTGCTGAGTGGCCGTGGCCTAGTTGGCTTCCAGCACCATGGCGGGAGGGTGCGGGGCAGGCTTTTCGCCTTCCCGAGGCTCCGGAGGCTTTCCTGGTGAAAACTGCCTCCCTCAGGCCCGTTTCCGGACTTCCAGAAGGCCCATTTTCCCCCCCTCCCCGAGCCTCTGTGTAGTCCCTGTACTTACCTCACATCCAAAATGGGCCGCGTAGAGACTCCTCGGAGGGGCAGGGCATGGTGGGAGGGACCAGCCAGGGGTGGGATTTAGCGGTTCGCCGAACCAGACGTAACGTTAGCTACAGGTCCGCCTGAACCCAGGCGAATCTGTAGCAGCCCAACCCCGGGTCTCGGTTGAGACGGTAAGCAATAGCAAGAAAGGACATGGACCTTGGAAGGTGCTCTATGAGGTTGACTCTTAAAGATGGGTCTTTGCCTCCACTGCTTACCTTTGACATCTTCTTCTGTGGTCTGAGTCGTAGTGGTGATGGTGGTTTGAGTGATGCTGTCATCGTAGTACCCTGGTTCCACATAATAGTCATCCCAGGCAGCACGGAAACGGTTAGAGTCAGGAGCACTCTCTCCAGGAATCTCTTCCTCTTCTTCCTCTTCCTCCTCCTCCTCGTCTTCTTCTTCCTCCTCCTCCACCTCCTCTTCCTCTTCTTCATCCATATTTCTGTCTTCCTCCAATTCTAAACTTTCTTCCTCTATTGGGATACGCCCTGTTGGTACTTTGTTGCTGGAAAAAAAGACCCATCGAGTTAAGATCCCAAAACAAATCCATCAAGCAAGAAGATGCATTTGAAGAGCAGGGGAAAGGCATGGGAAAAGGAAAATATTCCCATTCAACTACATAATCCTGTAGGAGCAATGTCTTCAATTTTGTGCTATTTTTCCTTTTTTTTTTTTTTGGTCTTTTAATGATCCCGTAATCCCTTACGTTGTGGGGTAAAGTCGAGGCAACGGAATGGAGCTGAATGTTTACTGGCCGGATGCCCTTCCTGTTGCCAATGCAGAGTTTTTTTCCCCAGCAGATATATTCTCATTGTGCCCAGAGAGAGAAATATCTGTTGCTATCTAGGATCAAACTCACAGTCTCACAGGTTGTGAGGCGAGAGCTCCACCTCTAGGCCACTGCACCAGTCTTCAATTTTGCGCTAATAAAGCAATCAATTGTATATGTATACATATATACTAGTGGTGGTATTCAGCCGGTTCGCACCAGATCGAGCAAACTGGTAGCAAGAATTTGGCGTGGGTTGCCGAACTGGTAGGAACTTCTGGCTGGCCACGCCCCCAATCTGGTCGCCCTCCCGCCCGATGCTCGCTTACCCGCTCGCCTGACATTCGCCTAAGGTATTTCTTTTTTTTCCTCGCCTTCCGACAATCAGCTGTGCATAGATCAGCTGCGCTAGGATTCCCCTTGCTGAGGCCCAGGAAGGCAAAAAATGGAGGGAGGAGCTCAGGCCCCCCTCCTCCATTTTTTGCCTTCCAGAGCCCCAGAAAAGCCTTAGAGGAGCAAAAACGCCCCCTCTCCTAGAGGCTCCTCTGAGGCTAGGAAGCTCCCAAAAATGGGTGGGAGTGGCAAAAAGGCAAAAAAAAAAAAAAAGCCACACCCACCCAGTCACATGGCCATGCCTATCAAGCCACACGCCCACAGAACCGGTAGTAAAAAAATTTGAATCCCACCACTGATATGTACACACATATATCTAAACATTTCCTTGCAGATTTCCCCTAAAAGAGCCAGATCCAGGAACATTCTAAATGAAATAAGTTTTGCAAGGGGTAAAATTTGGTCTCCAATGGAATCTTAACCGCCTTCCTATGCAGCTGGACCTGCTCAGACTCATCGTCTCACCTGCGCAGGGCTTCTTCCCTTAAATGGGCAACCACCGGGGGTCCCTCCGTAGCTTGCTCCACCCTGATGGCTGGCGGGCGTGAAGGGCAGCACACGTATTCCACACCTCGGAAGCGGTCAGCTCCACAAGGCAGTAACATGCCGTAGCTGTGTAGCTCAAGATGTTCACCACTGCAGGCCTGAAAGGTGGACATGAACAAGGTTAAAATGCTGCGAGGCAACAGCCCGAGACTGGTTCACACGACACGGTGAACCTGCCTAGAGTGCCAGGTAAACCTATAGGCCGTACAGTTGAGTTTTGTCGTGTGAACTCAGATAACGTGAGAAGAGTATCCTTCACTTAACACAGCGCATGCTGTGAAAACTTGTCAAGCCTTACTTACTAGGTAGAGCAGACTGGAGATGTGGCCAGATGAGCTAATTCTACTTTACTGTGAAGTTATATTAACAGCATCTGTCTGAAAATACTATTCTGCCCCCATCTTGTTGGTTTATTTCTTTTTCTTTTAAGGACCCTGTAATCTTTTGCATTGGGGTGGAGTAGGGATGACTTAATGGAACTGAGCCTACATGGAGTTTGCAGCAGAGATTTTCTCTTTGGGGCCAGAAATATAAGTATCTGACACTACCTAGGATCAAACTCACAGTCTCCACCTCTAGGCCACCATGCCACTCCTAACCCTTTACAGACTGAGAAACTAGGGAGGGTCTTCTTTGAGCCTCTTTATCTGCCTGTTATGCAGCTGTGGGCTATGCTGTCTCTTATCTGGCTGTTCCCTAGGTAGCATCTCTGGATCCAGTCTCCCAAGGTGTTTCCTACATACCATTACAAAACCTGCTTGGATGAGGCAATCATACTGTAGCTTAACCACAGCTATGTTTAACCGCAACTAAGAATGATTTGATCTAAGTTAACACTAATTTAGGAGATGGCTTAATTCAGACAACCAGACTCAAGTAGAAATGCTTGGTAAGAAGCCCACAGTTACTCACCTCTTTAGCCACACTATGCCAATACAAGTAGGTCTCACAGGAGTCCATTTTCTCTTGGTGTAGGAATTTGCACTTGTCTGGTACAAGAAGTGCTTCGCTCACAAACTCGCCCACTGGGGAAAGAGAACAGCAAGTAGGTTTATCACTTTGCCCTATCAAGGAGTAATGACGAAAGAAAGTTATTATAGTTAATATGTACAAGTAAAGGCTAGAAGTTAAGATTAGTATTATATACTGTATGTTTAAAAAGTAAAAAAATAAGAGATGATGGCATAGAAGGTTTACTGAGAGAGATAAGCAAATACTGCTATTATTATGTGATCACTATTAATGTTATGAATATTATTGCTAATATTATTACTATTATTTCTCCAAACTAATTGTACCCAGACAACATGCGGTTCATGTAGACATTGATGGTTTATAAATCAATCAATCAATCAATCAATCAATCAATCAATCAATCTCTATAAAAGCAAAATACCACTCACATCATCACAAAATCTCCAGAACCGTAAAGCCTACAAACTCGAAATTCGGCATGTATGTTCCTCTTGGCTTCTAGGTGCTCACAAGAAAGGATTTTTCAAAATGTCCATCAGAGCATTAGTATTTCGTATATTATTATTAACACTCTCTGATGCTAAGGAGTTCTACTCCCCCTCCCCACCTGAAAAGAAATATCTTCCAAATGCAAAACACAAGCAGAAGAGTTTGTTTTAGTTTCACAGCACCAAGCAGCTTTAGTACAGAACAGTTGAGCTAAGCCACGCCCAGGCTCCTTGCTGTCTCCTTCTTGCTCACACAGCAAATACTGTTTCAGTTTCCAAACAACCCTCAACTCTTTCACACACTGACAGGATGGATGCTGGTAGGCAGAGGCACAATTCCCCCCCTTATTTTCCTCCCCCAAAACTAAGCCTGACCACATAGTTTCGTAGCGAAGCACAGGTATCGAGCTAGTAAATAAATGAAGAAAGGAGCAATGATGAGGTATTTATTGTAGCTATGCCTGACAGGATAGGCTACAATCATTAGGATTATAACGATTCCTCTATTCTTCCATCTTTTGTGTCACTAACTAAAGGTCTGAAAGTTGGGATTCTCCAGATTTTTACTGATTACAACTGCCAGCATCCTTGACCATGCTAACTAAGCAATGATGGGAGCTAGGATCCCATAGTTTTTAAGATTAGGAAAGCTGCAGGTTCCTCTACTTTTATCACTCTGATTCTTCCCAGAGAGATGAGTAGCTTAACATCAGTTTTGAAGGCACGGAGGTTGGTCCCCAAATTTGCCTTGAGGTAGATCAGATTTGGTGTTAAATGGCCTGGAATTATGGGATCTGACGTCTGGCAAGTATGGAAGGTGTTAATTTGTCAAAGGTTCATCAGGATGGACGAAAGTTTAATTTGACAAAAGACAATATTTCCTTCAAAGTATCTGCAAAGCAGGCAAGACCAAAAGATCTAAAAAAGAATTATCTACAACCCCAAGTTTGGAAAACTCCAAGACAGGTGAAATAATGTTAAACTACAGAGATAGACAATTTGGGGTCCTCTACACCAAAGTTTAGATGGCAAGCAACTCCTCCGTTGGATAACCATTTGTCTGAAGTGGTGTAGGGTTTCCTGCCTAGGCAGGGGGTTGGACTAGAAGACCTTCAAGGTCCCTTCCAACTCTGTTGTTCTATTCTATTCTAATTCCTTTGTCACTGGTCATTCTACTGTATCCCACAGATATTGAGACTCTAAACTATTGAAGGATTTCTGGTTGCTTTGCTAATTATAATGCAATAAACATTTAGAAAATAAAATAATGCTATCACAGCACTTTCTCCTGGAAAAGAATGACACAGGAGTTTTGTCCACAATCAATTTCTGCACCAATAGCAGCTTCTTCATTTCTGCTCAAAAATAAAGTTCCACTGAACTGGTCTAAGTGAATGTAACTTCCATTTCCACTAAATCAGAGCTAAGTGTATACCGTAATCAGAGGTGGTATTCAGCAGGTTCTGACCAGTTCTGGAGAACTGGTACCAGAATTTTTTTAAATTTTTTTTTATTAAATAAACAAACACAAAAACAAAAAGAAACATTAAAAACAATGAACATGGTACAATCCTCCTAACCCACATAGTTGTCTTACATTGCTAAATCACATACAAAAATAGTGCATGTTTACATTCTATATACATAGTATATAATATATACATACATTTAATCATTTCTTATTATCTTGATCCTATCTCTTTTCTAACCAGCCATAAAACTTATCCAATACTTTCATCCTTACTTTTTTTAATTTTTTTGTCAATTTGTCCATTTCTACGCACATCCAGATTTTCCTAATTATTTCTATTTCACTTGGAGTTTCTTTACATTTAGAAATTTTGAGTAGTTGGGAGAACCGGCCAATACCACCTCTGACTGGCCCCGCCCCCATCTATTCTCTGCCGCTTGAGTCCCAGCTGATTGGCTGGTCTTCTTTTGTTGCCCTGAATAGGAGAACGGAGCTGGAAAGCAGGTTAGTGGGGTGGGGAAGGAATGGGGATTTTACAGTAACCTTCCCCTGCCATGCCCACCAAGCCACGCCCACCAAGCCACACCAGGCCCACCAAGCCACGCCCATAGAACCAGTATTAAAAATTTTTTGAATCCCACCACTGACCATAACTTTCTAGCATGAGTCAGCATCGGTGTTTCTCAATTCAGCATCTTTCGGATGGATGGATTTCAGATGTGTGGATTTCAACTTCAGCATGCTGGCCGGGGAATTCTGGGAGTTGAAGTCCATCCATCCTAAGTCCACTGAGGGTGAGAAACACTGGCCTACCCTACACGTTTTTAAACTTTCTTCAGCCCTCACCTGCCAAAAGGCTCCCGAAGGAGTGGGGAGGGGGCTTGCATTTTATCAGTAGCAAGACATCCCTTGCCTTCTAGCTGGTGCTTTCAAAGGCACAACCTCCCAAGGCAGCAGAAGGGACAAGAAAAATGACAACCACACATTATTTCATTCCCAATTTTAAAGCCAGTCCTTATCATCCCCAACTGGAAATGCAAACAGGTCGA